CCCCTTTTACCGAAAGGAAGCGAAGTGACCAAGATCGGCTGGGGACTGAGTATATTCATAGGTAGGCTAAGCTGGAGTTAAATAAACAAACTAAAAGTCACCTATAGAAAAGCAATGTCAACGACCTTGGTACCCTGTACCAAACATCTCGGAGTATGACTAGGGGTACACTTAGGGTTACGTACCCCGTTACAAATGAGGTAACGAGTGTCTGCATAGGGGAGGATAGCGGACAGTAGACCTGGGAGATAAAGTAAATCGCTCAGTGATGGCTGTTAGAGCTCATGCTGAAAAGCCTGAAGCGCAATATACCTCAGCTTCAATTAACTAATAATGTAGTAAGAATAAGATTAAACCTGTTCAATTTACCAAATGAATTGTGTATTCAGGTGTTTCAGATAGTAATCATTCCATTAAGCTTACTATTTACTAGTAAAATTTGGCCTTTTCCTTTACAACTGCCAAACGTCTGCCCCCTTTACGAGTAGCGTTATGATACGGATTCGACTGTTATTCTCTATTTCAATTGTTTATTAGTAACTTGCAACAAATAAGCTGCTACCCGCTCCGTCGCTTCGGCGTCATGTAGTCTGATCCGTATGCCTTCTTCAAAAAATATTTGGGATCGTCAAATTCCACTCCGTTGATCGTCACCTGCGAGAGAGGTTTCACTTTGCTGTCGGGAAGAGCGCGGCCATGGTCTCCTTTCCAGAATTCCACATTCCACGCGCCATTTATCTTCTGCTCCATCTTGTACAGGTCCAAATAGGGCACTACATAGTCCTCGGTGATAGGCAAGTCAGGGTCGTACAAAAGCCCAGCCAGAGGGTGCGTTGGGGCAACGCATACTCGCCAAATATTCATGAAAAACATGTGATAACCCTTCCGTCGGAGAGCGTCTATCAACACTTCCTCGTGATGCAAGTCACCGACGAACCCGATGTCGGCGTCTTCGGTAAACGGGATCAACGCCTTGTTACGTACAGCACCCAGTAGCGACCCGAACGCGAGGAACGGAGTGCTCCCAGTAGCTTGAAGCTCTTCGTAGACCTCGACTAGCAGCATATGCAGCACACTAGCGTAGCATATCGACTTGGAGGAGCGAAGATTGAGCAGATCCAAGCGGTCTGGAGTCTCGCAAAACGGTGTGTCCTTCCGACCGGAGATCGGCAAACAGTAGCTGTACTTCTTTAAGTTGCTGGACCAGTCACTGCAGAGACTGGTGTGGTCGTTGCGGAAGACTGGCTCCGGTAGACGACCCATGTCCTTGAGCTCGGAGTAATATCTGTCGTTGGAGTGGTACTCAACGGTGCTCGCGTTCACCGTCGACGCGACACATATCCCCTGGTAGTTTAACAGCATGGACGTAGG